CAGAAAGGACTCTGACAAAGAGCATCGGATATATCGGATATCGGATATCGGATAGGATTAACAGAGGTGAGATATGTGCTTTCTTTTTCTTTCCAAGTTTAGACCGAATAACATGCAAAACATATATGTCCAAAAGCATACAATATACACAAGCAGACAAAAGCAGACAAAAAAACCGCTTCCCCAAGGCCAAGGTGGATCTCGGGGGAGAAAACTCGGAGCCGTTGGATTTCGATCCCACTGACGATCGCTACAATTTTTTTTTCTTCTTTTTTTTTCCTTCTTTTTCTTTTTTCGTTTCGTGTTGGACCCTGAAGACAAAATAAAATTAAAAAGCCAAGATCAGGACCATGACCGTTGCATCGTATGATGTCCCTCCTTGGTAATCTCCCTATATTGTCCTGGAACGTGCTATGCGGGGAAGATCGAGTAAATGTCATCTATACACCTAAACACCAACATAGTAGTATATGCATATATTGTATTGTAGGATCAGGCCACGTATCTTGTATGGAGTATTCCATATACATATACAACATACAACATACAACATACAGGTACGGAGTAATTTTTATTCCTATTTATCCATCGGACTTTAGAATATTAAGTAGGTGACGCAAGCCGATCTCTTGGCAAAATGGAGGCTTCCCCTTACGAGAATTAATCTATACATACAGGTAATAATTTCTGGTATACAACATATATTGTAGGCCGCAATACAACATAGTAGAGAACAGATGCAAGCATAATATGCTCTTAAAGATATATTGTGTAGATGTACTCCGTATACATGTATACAGTTCCCGATCCGGAAAGTTACATATAAACATCAAAAGGATGGGAGTGGGTCACAACAGAAAGGGGAAAGAAAGAGACTCGGATTTTCCGGTTATCTTATTGCTGACATCTCCAAGCACGTCGGTCCATCCATTACTCCGTCGTCCGTACTCCGTATGTTGTACTCCGTAGAATAAAAGATAGTCCACATGGCCAGTGCATTCAGATCGGACCACATGGCCTACCGTTATACCTCCTTCCGTCTCTTGTATAGCGGGTGTCCACTTATGGAGACTAAACTCGACGCTTGTGTCGATAGTGGTTCGGACTGTTGAACTTCCCATGTGGTTTTGATTTGTTGGAGTGGACACCTATACAGTCTACTGAGTGCATCGAACCCCAGACGATCAGTGCGCGATTTTCCTGGCTTCGCTTGCTCTTCCCAAACCCTATTTTGCTAGTATATTTGTATATCACGAACTACTCGAAAAGGTTCTTCTCTGAGCTGACGGGAGAAAAAAGGGGGCCAAGTGGACAGGGGAAGAAACAAAGTGCCCACTTCTGCAACTAATGGTTCAATGGGGATTTTTTTTTTTTGATCTCGTGTACAACGTACTCCGTACTCCTGGAGACTTACTCCATATTCTCTCCTTTTTTAAATTTTTTTTTATTGATTCCGTTCTGATGAAGTCGCTTAATATTACGGAGTACTGCTTAATCAAAAACCACTTAATCTTACCCCCTGGTTTCTCATACCAAATTCATTTTTTTGGGGAAATTGGGAAAAGTGAAACATGGCTGCGACGCCGACCCCGCCACTTGTGAGAAATTAGTTCTGGAGAACATGGACAGAACATGACATCTTTTTTCCTAATTTACAGAGTCATGCAGGAACCCTTTCAAGTCATTTGTATTAGAGTTGCCGATCAGCTAAAGAATCGTGGTCTCCACGTTAGCTAATTCATTGCCCTCTTAGTCCCCATGGCGGGTATGAACTCTCATCGCTTTTATTCTGTGGCCCGCTTCCCGTAGAATGTCTAGGTGTCGGATTGGTTTAGGCCCGCAATCAACCAATGGGCCCAATTGATTGGTGTTATTGTTTCGGTTTAAGCGACATCTTGTTCCGATTCTGCTCCGATGAAGCTGAATGGCGACCCTGAAGAGGGGGTTCTTGAAAAAGAAGAAAAAAGAAGGAAAAAAAAGAAGCTCGTAAAATGACCCCCAATTAGGGCAGAGGAAGGTTAACTCTGCCTGCAACCCAGGACGCACTCTGGTATTCGTATTCGGAAAAAAACACCAAGTGCTGAACCATTCCAGCAGATGTGTCGCAGATAATGCAGGTGCACGGATGTGGTAATCTCACTCCAGATCACGGCACTAACGGCGCCGTGATATTGATGCAGGAAATCCTGCAATTTGCCTGGATAATCTGGATGTGGTTGGTCGCAGCGCACTGCGCCAGACTGTGCTCATTGGGGGATGATTTTCTCCGGACAAAAGGGGGTCAAAGCCATCGAGTTTCCAACAGAATATCTTCAAGCCACAAATCTGGCTTTACGTGGCAGAGTCCTCTTTCGAGGCGCTAGTGGCGGCAAGGGCCTCTTCTTTTCTCTCATCGGTGCTCGGGTCTTGTTTTTCGCTGATGACGTCTTTGTTTTCGACTTGCATTTCCTTCTGATCTGTGCCTCGGGGCAAATCCTGGGGGTCCCAAACACTCTCAGATCGGCCGGCTGTCTCGACATTTCCCTCAACAGGTCCTTCGAGTTCAGCAGCCTCGGTCACTTCAGCGGGCTCTTCGTCCTCAACGGGCTCTTTGGTTTTAACAGGCAGGTCCTGAGCTCCATCGAGGGACTGGGAGATATCCTTGGCATCACCAGAGGAACTGAGCTCATTATTATCTTCAGTCGCCGTAGCACTCTCGAACAAGACCTGTAGGTTGTTACCCTCTCCGATTTTGTCGAATGCAGCGAGCTTTCCTTTCGCAGCAAGGCGTAAGATTCGCCAGGACTTGCTGGCTTTAGCGCCCTCGGCAATCGCCTTGTCCTCGTCGGTCATCGCCATATCGATGTCCATTTCATCATCCATGATTCCCTTCAAGAATGAGTCCGCGGAAGGAACGCTGTATCGGTCGGATTCCTTGAGACGCTCGATATTGGCCAGCGCCTCAGTGTCAGCAAGGAACTTCAAATCGAGAGAGCCCATCGGGGACGGACGAAGGCGCTTGTTGGCATACGCCTTGGTGGCGTGCTCGCGGGAAGTTGTGTACTCCGCCGCCGAGATGGCTGGTCGTTCAATCAATGGACAGCCCTCGGCTTTCCACCGCACCCAGTTCTTGTCTCGAGACAAGACTGTGTCCACCATGCGATAATAGAATTTACCTCCGGGCCCTTGTTGCAGATATCCCTCGATGCTTTTTCGCATGCTGGTCGCCCACTTGGTATCCTCCTCATTCAAAGTAAAACCGTAGAGAACAGACTTGTTTGTTGTATTGGCCAGGCGTGATTTGGACTTTGATGTGAGAGAAAGCACAAAGTCGAGGAGAATAAGAGCCTGGACTAGAACATGTCGTCGGAAGGCGGTATCGCTGATTTCGAGGTCGAACAGATCCCGGCTAGTTAAGTACTTCGGGTTGAAGCTGGTGGCGACTTCAGAACCATCCGCAATGCGCTTGCGCTTGTTCGACTTGCGGGCATCTTCTGAGGCTCGGGCAGAGCTCTCATTTTCCATCTCGGTGTTGATGTTCTTGAATGCAGCCAGCGTAGCTTCCATTCCAGTCTTGAATGATGTAAATCTTTCAGCATCGAACATCTTGCTCGGTGCGGAGAAATAGGCCTGAAGGCTCCAGAAGAGCGGGTAGAGTGCATCCAAGTCGACTTCATCTGATTTCTTCTCATCGCCAGTAGAAACAACAACCTTGGGCACTTTCGATGTCTCCTGAGAAGTGGTCTCAGCCTGGCCCGCCGCTGTCTCTCCGGGTGCCGAGGGTTCAGCCCCATCAGTCATTGTTGTATCCTGTTCCTGCTTGGCGCTAGACTCTTTCACGATTTCGTCAAAAGTCGTAACATTCTCAGAGTGGAACTCGCCGCGAAGGTTAACCGAACTCTTGTCTCCAAGTGGGAAACTCTGGAAGAGATAGATAAACACCCGGCCGCAAAATACTGTATCTTCTGCGCGCGAGAGCCGGCGAAGAAGCTCGTTGCATGATCGTAGAATAACTAAGCTTTTCTGTTTGAAATGTTTCTTTTGGCGGGGTCAGCTTTGCGACAGATCCAGTAGTTGAGGGGCTGTGTTGACCTTGGTGTTCCTTTCCCTTCGGGATTCTAAGTAGTCGAACACTTTGCGGCAACCATCAATGGTTTGACTATCTAGGAGCTCTTCAATGAGCCAGAAAATCAGACCGGGTTCGCATTGTTCTGGTGATTGTTAGATCGGCGTAGACTGCGGAGGGAGTACGACTGACCATTATCGGAAAATATCGAGACGATGTCTAGGAGGTTCCAGATTTGAATGAACGCAGGATCATCGATAGAAGTCGAGGCCTATGACGAACTGTTAGCAAAGTGCCCTGGGGACTAGAGGTTTGTACGGGCCGTACCAAAACGCGATAGAACTTCTCGCGAAACGCGATTTCCACGGCCGCAAGCTTAGTCTGTGGGCTTAGATGCTTTGTAGCCTTGTCATCCTCAGACGGCACTTGCCATATCGATTCGCCTAGGTGTGTTTCGGTCAAAGGGGGTTCGATCTGCTTGTCGGGCTTGACCTGCGCGGCGCGATCCAGGAGACTGTCCACTAGTCTTTTGTAGACATGGACGCCGGCATCGTCCTCGTTCGCCATTTTCTGAGCGTCTACCCAGGCGCCTTCGTAAGGGACCCTTGAGGGGTTGTCTCAAAGTGTCGTCTCGGATTGTCGTCTCGAGCGTGTTCGTAAGTGCCTTCTCGAACGTCTTTTAGGGGGCCTTGGACTTCTCTAGATTGCGATCTTTAAATCTTTGTCACGGTTTCCTCAATTGTCCCTCGGATTCGGGTAGAAGAAAGTTTGGATGGGTGTAGGAAGGAGGGAAACAAAGTGGTCGGATTGATTGAGGCCTGCGGCTCGGCGGAACTCAAAGCCAAGACTTTCTGAAAAAGCTCCCCCAGCTTCATTCATATGTTCCGACCGCGCCAATCCACCCCTCCTTGACCAACACCGATTTATTAGGTTAAGGAAACTATCGACTCCTGCGATGGCGCAGAGTCTCGAATCCAGGCCTACAGTGGTGGACTTTCGTGAAGAAAGCCCGTGGGTGCAGCTAGCCAAGGCCCACTGGCTGAACACGAAGGTCCGTAAGGCCAAACCAGATGTCATCAAGAAGCAATTGTGGGATCCTTTGGAAGCAGAGGCTTTCAACAGTCGCTCGTTACTGATCCTTGAGAACTTGAACATTCTTGAGAAGTACGTTCTATCTAGTCATGCCTGTAGGGCTAACGCTGACTTGACTGTTCTCCAGGTTTCTTTGGCCGACTTACACAGAGGATGCGTCGAATCATCATGTACTGTTGATTGCGTTGATTGTCAGCGTGAAGCATCGCGAGCACTTACCGATATGGCGTGAGTCAATGCGACGAGATCTATACCGCGACGAAGCTGACAGTTGCAGATATCTTCTCCGACCGCGCCGATGACTTCTCCAATCTCTTCCACCGTATTCTCTCGATGAGCATTGATCATTCACTTCCGACTCGCTCTAGGCTCTCTATCATATCGTTTGTCATCAGCGCCTTCCAGTCACTCGAGAACGTCCTGATCCGCAAAGAATGCGCGCCCCTCGTTTCTATCTCGATCTGGCACAATCTGGCCAGCGAGGAGGCTAGAGATCGTATTATTGCAAAGGCCCCGACACTGAAAAAGGCATGGAGAGCCTCTGCGAAGCGATATGAGGCTGGAGATGAGGCATTGAAAGCAAAGATGCGCTTCGAACGATCATGGCTATATACAATGCTCTTGGATTTTCTTCATAGGTTGAACGGACCCGAAAAGGACCAAGCTGAGAACTTGCTATACTGTGAACGTTTCCTTGAGCTCTTGGTTGATCTCGAAAGTCAGCTTCCCACTAGGCGCTACGTGAACACGTTGTTGAAGGACCTCAACCTTCTGTCAGTTATTCGTCTTTCACAGCTCTACCGTGTGCCTGATAACGCTCTTCTGCGCGACTTCCACGGCCTCCTCAAGCATTTTGTTGAATTTGCAATTGATGATTACTCTGGCGAGGCTCTTTCTCCGCAGGGAGTCTACGACCTGCATTGCCAGGAATTGGCACAGCTGCAAAGAACCTCAATGAAGTTCTTCAAGGACAAGCTCATGATCCTCGCGCTATCCAATATGGGGTCGATTGCGCAGCGAGCGGATCTAGAGGGACAGCTATCTTCTCTGGACGAGTCGGAACTCCAGAGCCTTTGCTCTCACCTCGGATTCCGCACAAGCTACCCAAAATCATCACATGTCATCCCAGACCGTCAATTCTATCTGGAAGTTTTGGCATCTTCCTATGAACGCAAGGTGCCCTTCCAAGAAGCTGTCGAGAAGTTGAGTCCACTTCCGACGGAAGAAACTCTTTATGACCCGGCCTTGTTGAGGAATGAGACATACGATGGATCGAGGCCTCTGGCGATCCCAAAGTTAAATCTCCAGTATCTGAGTCTCGGAGATTTCCTTTGGCGCTCCTTTCTCCTGTACCGATCAGAAGCATTCTTCCAAATCCGCAAGGACATGGAGTCCCTTGTCAAACGCATGCAGCCCAAACCAGCACGCGATGGAAGCTTAAACTTTGAGGGATTCTCTCGAATGGCGATTCCAATTTCAAAGCCTGCTATCATCGATGTCGCACCACCAAAGGTCGGGGCGACAAACCCGGCTTTTGTTCGAGCTGAGATTGCGATAGAGGTAGGAAGGCTTGCAGATAATATTAGGAGAGAATGGGACTCACTCCGTCCCGATGACGTCGTCTATCTTTTGGCGGTCCAGTCGAGCTCGTCACAGTCGGAACAAGGTGCATCTGAAGCCCCTCGGATGACCCATCTTCGAACTGCCGAGATCGTACAGGTACTTGACGAGCAAGGCCGCGCATTGCGCCAAAATAGTGGCCAGGCAAATGGCTCTCAGCCCAGGGCACGATCGAGGAGACTGATCGTCAACTTGGATGCGGTTGCATTCAAAGCCGACAAGGACCAGCAGGCCCACGGCAAACCGGATATCTACCCCCTCATCAACGTGGTTGCACGGAGAAAGGGCAGGGAGAATAACTTCAAGTCAATTCTGCAGACAATGCAGAAGCTTATTGTCTCTGATATGACGCTTCCTTCCTGGCTCCAAGACATCTTCCTGGGCTATGGAGATCCCGCTAGTGCTCGATACACACAGCTGCCAAACCGACTTACCACTGTCGACTTCCGAGACACACTTTTGGACTGGTCTCATTTGGTGGAAAGCTTCCCAGGCATAGAGCCTTCGGGCGCTGAGAATGCCAGCTTTGGCCCGCCTACGTTCTTGAATATGTTAAACAAGAGCCGGCAGCAGAACCTCATGCGCCGAAGAAGCGACGCCGGGAACAAGCTGCCGAGACAGAGTTGGCGCCTAGCAGTATGCGTGTTTCCACATACAAGCCACCAAACCCTGGCCCCTACCCCGTCGATACTCCCAAATTGAACAAAATCCGATTCACACCTGCCCAGGTGGAAGCCATCGCATCTGGAACACAGCCTGGACTCACCGTAATCGTGGGTCCGCCTGGTACTGGAAAGACTGATGTCACCACCCAAATCATTAACAACATTTACCACAATTTCCCGAATGAACGGACACTTCTCATTGCACACAGCAACCAAGCCCTCAATCAATTATTCCAGAAAATCATTGCCCTTGATATTGATGAAAGGCACTTGTTGCGACTGGGTCACGGCGAGGAAGAATTGGAAACTGATTCCAACTACAGCAAGTATGGACGGGTCGAATCCTTCCTTGACAACCGCAATTACTATCTGTCAGAGGTGATGCGCTTGGCGGCATCAATTGGGGTCGAGGGTGCGCATGGAAATTCATGTGAGACTGCAGGCTACTTCAACACAGTTTACGTGCAGCCAACATGGGCCAAATTCTGGGATCGAGCCAATTCCGAAGGAACGTCAAATGAAGAGATTATCGCATCCTTCCCGTTCCAATCATACTTTGCAGATGCCCCCCAACCCTTATTCGAAGTAGAAGCCGCGAAGGAGGCGATCATTGATACTGCTGCAGGTTGCGAGCGCCACATCGCTCGAATCTTCTCTGAGTTGGAAGACATCCGACCATTCGAGATCTTGAGACAACCCCGCGATAAAGCGAACTATCTCCTCGTCAAGGAGGCCCGCATTATCGCGATGACCTCGACCCACGCAGCTATGCGCCGGCAGGAAATTGCCGATCTAGGCTTCCACTATGACAACGTGGTCATGGAAGAAGCCGCGCAGATTACTGAAGTTGAGAGTTTCATTCCTAACGCCCTGCAAAACATGAAGAACGGCGAACTTCCTCTCAAGCGTGTTGTGCTCTGTGGTGATCACCACCAGAACTCACCCATCATCCAGAATATGGCCTTCCGTCAATATGCCCACTTCGAACAAAGTCTCTTCTTGCGACTGGCGCGGTTGGGTGTCCCAGTGATCAATTTGGATAAGCAGGGACGCGCACGACCTAGCATTGCAGAGCTCTTCCGCTGGCGATACAAGCAACTCGGAGATCTTCCAGTGGTCGAAACTGCCTCCGAGTACCAGAAGGCCAATGCCGGTTTCCAGTTCGACTACCAGTTCATCAATGTCCCCGACTATCAGGGTTCTGGAGAGCGAGAGCCGACACCTCACTTTATCCAGAATTTGGGCGAAGCGGAGTACGCAGTGGCCATGTATCAGTACATGCGACTCTTGGGCTACCCTGCTTCTAAAATCTCGATCTTAGCCACATATGCTGGGCAAACAGCTTTGATCCGGGATGTATTGAGTCACCGCTGTGGAAAGAACCCCATGTTTGGAATGCCCAAGATTGTGACGACAGTGGATCGCTATCAGGGAGAACAGAATGATTGTGAGTTGACTTCCTCCCAAAGCGTATTTACGCCACTCAAAATATCGGAATGGCTAACATTTCTCTAGACGTCATCCTTTCTCTCACCCGGACCCGCAGCGTCGGATACCTGCGCGACGTTCGCCGTCTGACTGTAGCTCTCTCCCGCGCACGACTAGGTCTGTATGTGCTCGGCCGACGGGAAGTCTTCGAATCGTGCTACGAACTCAAGCCCGCATTCGACCTTCTTCTGCAACGACCGGATAAGCTCATGCTCGCGCCTGGTGAGATGTTCCCGTCGTCGCGGGAAGCCAACGCCGCCATTGAGGGCACGCCGATGGAGAGTGTTGAGCACCTTGGCCAATATGTGTTTGAAATGACGCAGGCCAAGATTAAGGCCATGGGTGATGGAGATATCACTATTGAGGATGCGGCGCCGGCTGGCGAAGATGACTATGTGGATGAGGATGAGGTTATGGGGGGCTGATGATGAGGATGAAGATATTGTATGAATTGTTTCGCGATTAAATGGTAACAGCAGCACTCAATAAAGGAATTTGTTGGGATCACTCTCCGTTTTCTGCTTTGTACTTTTACGTGGCTCTTGAATGGGCACCTCGTTTTACAGATTTAAATGGTTATCTATTACGTAGTAGCACGCTGAAAATAATGAACTTGTGTAAAATTTCTGGTCTCAGACAGAGTGGTATCATTTGGGGATATGAACAGACTCGCTGTGTTCTATAATCGGTCTTTTCTGACTCAGACTTGCTGCTACCCGTGGACAATTGTCGACTGATCTTTTCTTTTGGTCATAATGACTTGAAGTAAATATGTGCGACTTGTTCGACCAAAACTCTCCGGGTCCATCAATCATACCCAAATTCCGTTTTTATTGGTCCTTGTGCTTGTTCATTTCCTCCACAATGTTATTAGGATCCTTCCAAGCCTGAGTCACATACCTAAGTGACATTAGCAGTTTACATTTGGAAATAGAATAGGGTACACACTTCGTGTGGCTCCCACGGGCAACGATATGTCCGTTGGGGTTCGTGAACTTGATGTTCGTGAAAGCAAGGGTCTTTCCAACTAAGCGTGGCAAGTTAGTTCATGGTAGGTGTATCAAGTAAAATAGATGTGATGAAGAAGTCAGATAGCATACATTTGTCACAAGTTACCTCCTAACGTCAAAAGTTAGTACTGTAGGATTGAGAAACCGAGAAGAATAGATGGAGAAATAACATACAGCCATGATTCGGTCACCGACTTTGCCGCCTGAGTTCAAATATGTGACTTAAGAGGATTTTATTAGAAACAGAGAAGTCAGATGCGATGCCTATCTCGTAAACTTACCATTTAGGTCTGTTGACACACCCGTCGAGAATAAGCCGCGAGATGCCACAGCCAACGAACCTCCGAGGTCAACTAGAGCATATTTTAGCCAAGTGTCACATCTTCTGGGCCACATACAATGATCTCTTACCCATGCTCGCAATAGTGCCTCCGTGGAGTATATTCAGGCGGTTCTAAATGATATAGATGTCAGAGACTATGTTTCATGTGAGAACTGGGGTCTTTAAAAAAGATTTGCAGAGATGTTTGCCGGAGAGTCTGCATCACAAAGAGACATACTGTATGCTCCTTCTGAATATCCAGCTCAAAGTTGACTACACCGGGCCTGGCGGCTGTAACACGGAGCTATATAGTAAAGGTCAGTGATCCAATATAAACCGTTAGGAAACTGGTTCAGACTTACATTATTCAACAGGCTTCAGTTCGGTTAAAGTGAGACGTTAGTTCTTCTCTACTATCTAAAAGGTAGAGGCAAGTTGGGATGGATTCCATACCGAGGCTCCAGACCCGAGGTAGCTCGGAAGGACTCCCACACCTATAGATAGCGAAATACGTTCCAAGGTTAGTAAGAAGTGGATGACAGAATATGTGGTGAGGGTCTTGGTAATTACCGAGCGGACAAATTTAAGAGAGGCCATTTCTCAAAAGTGATGAATGTCTAGGTGGAATGGTATATTGAATATTGTACTTGACTCTCGGGAGCATCCCGGAGCTGCACTTTATGGCCGCTTCGGCAACCGTACCAGCGTCATTTCATTCAACCACTTCACCTAAACACCTTATTCTCTTCAGTTGCTTGAGAACTTCGTTTCTCACAGCTCACCATGACGAGTGCAACATCCCGTCCTCTGGAGTACCTGGAGGGGCTCCCCGGGACAACCTTTTATAAGCTATACCAACAGCCATCCACAGCCCTTGCGATCTTCAGGCGCATGCTGCCCGATCTAGGTACATTGAGCTCACTCACATGGAAGGTAATGTTGTGCTAACAGTGAATGTAGCAAAATGCTTTGTGATGGCCCTGCTCTATTTAAAAGATCCTCTTCCAACGGCTGATCTGGAAGTTTGGGTCAACTCAGAGAGCAAGAAGTGAGTGGCTTATCTGACGGGTCTGGCTCTAGTCATTACTAACTGTGTTCACACAAGGGAACGAGATAATGCTCTTTCAATATTGGGTCGACTTCATATTCTTTCTACGACCCTCACAGGTGAGAATGTCCGTGCGTACATGATCACCAACCCATTCGCTGCTTCGCTTCGACAAGCTTTGACGGGCGCCGAGGACTCTCATTCTTTCGGTGTATTCTCACAAGCCCCAGAGCACACCCTGACCTCGATCGCCGATTTGGACGAATATGCTAGACGGCAGTGGGAAGGCGTCATGGGGTACATGGTTGGAACGAGTGCCTTGAGTGGGCAGCGTGACATGGTCAATTTGAGCAAGGGTGTCAAACAGCTTCTCCAAGCGGGACACCTAGTTGAGATTCGAGGCAACCGTGTCGACATTACGAAAGACGGGTTCGGATTTGTGCTACAGGACGTGAATACCCAGGTCTGGCATATCTTGATTCTTTATGTCGAGAGCGCCGAGGCCATCGGCATGGATAGCGTTGAGGTTCTCTCGTTCCTGTTCCTCTTGAGCAGTCTGGAACTCGGGTCGTCTTACGACAAGAGCCATATGACACCCAACCAACTTCGCACTCTTGCGGACCTCGCCGATTTTGGTATTGTCTACCAAGAACACGCCGACGCGACTCGTTTTTATCCCACTCGTCTTGCAACTACACTTACATCCGACTCGAGCGCTCTGAGCAACCCTGTCACAGGCTCCCTGACTGGGCCAGCGGGGCCGTCTGGTGGCTCTGGCTCCGGGTTCATCATCATCGAAACCAACTATCGACTGTACGCCTACACCTCATCACCCCTACAAATATCCCTCATCTCCCTCTTCACAAACCTCAAATACCGCTTCCCCAATCTGGTCACCGGCAAGATCACCAGACAGTCTGTCCGCCGAGCTATCGAGATGGGAATCACTGCCGATCAGATCATTTCGTACCTATTATCGCACGCGCACCCACAGCTGCGGAAGCACAGCGCTGCCCAACCGAACGGCAAGGGTGTCCCAGCATCTGTACTCCCGCCTACCGTGACAGATCAGATCAGACTGTGGCAGCTGGAGCGGGACCGTCTCCGGGCGACGGCGGGCTTTTTGTTCAAGGATTTCACCAGCTTGGCCGAATATCAGGCTCCTTGCCAGTATGCTGCGGAGATTGGCGTGCTGGTTTGGAAGTCGGATCGGAAGCGCATGTTTTTTGTCACGAGACATGAGCAGGTGGCTGCATTTTTGCGGAGTCAAAAGGTAGGTGGGAAGTAACACAGTTATGCAAGGCATAAGACTTCAGTCATTATGAATTTGGAAAAGCAGGAGACAAGATCTTTGGGTGTTATGGATACTGGAAAGCATGTTACGAAATCACGACCCATGGCCCTTTATACGGCGACATAAAAATTGTACAATAATCAATAAAAGAAGATTATGAGAAAGGAGACTTCAGCACCCGCCTACCTCTATATACCAATCTTCTGCTTAACAGTCACCCACTTACCATCCGCAGCCCTCTTCCGATAGCTAAAATAAGTATGGCCCCCAACATCATCCGGCAGAAGAACCCTAACATCCGAGACCCTTGCCTCGGCTGGCACCTTCGGTACAAGCAAATCCTCATCTCCGGGTAGAACCTGCCCAACAGACGAATTGACACGAACATTGCCAGCATAAAAATCCCCCTCTTCAACCCTAATAACCTCCTCCAAAACATCCGCCAAAATCGAACCATTCCACACCCCCTCCCGGTGCGGCGCTGCCCTCAACGCCCTCACAGCCTGCCGCCGGATCCGCGGAACACGGCACTTAAGAGCTGTGTAGTATACAGGTGGGATGTACCCCATCTCAATGGTGAACCCGCTCCTACCGCAGTCCGGTGCTTGCAGGTAGTAGTTGACTGTGGAGGCTTTTTCGAGGAGTTCTAGTAGAGAATTATCCAGGATCGCGTCCATGTCGGACATCTTGTTGAAGTCCTGGAAGATGGCCTTCAGGTCATCGGGTGCGGTGGCCAGTTTAAAGAAATCTTCTTCGCTGAATGCTGTTGCTGTCCAGCTTTTCCATATATCGAGGAATCCAGACATTATTCTGACGAAGTTCTCCGTATAAGTATCGAATCTCAGCTCGGATTCGGTTCCTTCTGGTGAGAGGCAGACTGAGGCCATTATTGTGGCCATTTCGTGGTGCACCCGTAGGAGGAGGTACCCAGTTTTGTCTTTTCCAGATATCTTGTTGGTTTTGAGGCGCGCGACTGAGACGGTGTATGTTTTACGCCAGAGGGATAGGTCCGCGAGGAGAACGCTTTGTGTATTGAGCATTTGTTGATTGCTGGTTGGTGTCTGGGATGCGTGGTGGTCGTGGTAATGCCTTTTTAGACAGTGGACTCTGTTCAAGAGATCGTCTAGGCTGCGTCTTGCTTCAAGGAGCGAGCTGAATGTATACGGAAGACTGGTGTTTCGCGGGTCTTTTGTTACAAGATACATGTGTGAAGGCACGTGGCCAAACATGGCAGAGTGAATACCTAGTCGAACATAGGCGTCAACTAGGGCGTTGTAGGCGAAGTCTTCTTCAGGCGCCAGAATGGTCGGGACCATGGATGACGGAGGACGTGGCGTAGGCATATCGGAGAGGAGCTTCATGCCATATTGGAGATGTGCATTCCCTATCTGATACTGCCCGCGCATGTATTCGAGGGTGATAAAGAGCATACACGTAATCAGCGCTACTCGGAGAGAGTAGCTATTGTTGGTTGTATTGATGCGTAGGTGCTGAATTGCCTTATTATATTGCTGAAGAGTGAAACACTCGTCATATTGATTCGGCCCGGCGGCATATCGCCCTTGGAAACGATGCGCAGACGACAAGGCAATGATAGCGTGACGCACGGCGGGTTCCTGTGCGCTAGCTTGAAAGATCAATGTCTCCCAGAAGTCGGATGGAAATAAACCGGCAAATTTCTTTGCGGTTCGTCTAATCAGCCAGTCGAAGCACAGCTGTTCTTCGTGGCTGAGGTTGCCGGCTGGAACTGGCGTGCAGTAGGTTGATAGAGCTCGGTTGCTTTGTGGTTTCCCGTAGGGACTTCCGCCGCCCCCCCAAATACCATAGCCGTCACAGACTCGTCTGGTTGACACACAGCGTCGGCAAGCTGGTCGGCCTTCGTCGCATTTGACCCGACGGATTCTTGATCCAGTTAAGGGAGTGCTAGAGTGAGGATGGGCAAATACTTACTTGCAGGTCCTGCAACCTGTTTTGGCCTTTTCGCGGACTAATGGGGCATGAGCGTGCATATCAGCAGTTATTTGAGGAATCAAAGGAACTACGTAGGTACATATGTAATTTAAGACTGGCCTCAGGGCTGCGGGAATACTAAAGTGGATTCCGAGTTCCTTCCTGGAGTGGAGCTTATCGGAGTTAACGCTTAACTACGTCAACATATGATTGGTGCGCTCGCTTTTATGTTGCTTTGATTGGCTGAATTTATTAAAGGAAGAGACCATTGGTATCCACTTATGAAGTAGGTACCCAGGTATACCTTAGGTAGATGCTGTGAATGATTTTGCAAGGATAGATTCTACGTTGTGCGGAGTTAGCGTCGAACAGGGATTCTGACTGACCATGATAACCTAGAAACATTTTGACTAAGGCCCCGAATACGACACAGAGTACCCAAACAAATGGCCCCATGAGCCTGAGCTCACAGGCTTCCGAAGCTTCATGGAGGATTTTTACCGCGAGTGCGACAGCGTTTGCCTGACGCTCATGGAGGCTCTAGAGGTTACCTGGGGCATTGATGATGGGTCTCTGGTCGCACGCTGCATTCCCAGTGCCACAGACCTCCGACTCACTCACGACCCCACAATTCCCGCTGATGAGATAAAGTCGGGCGGTACAAGACGGATCGCACCACATACCGATTTCGGACCCATCACGCTGCTGTTCCACGACAGCACTGGTGGCCTGGAAATTGAAGACCGGGCCAATCCAAAGGGCAACACTTTTGTTCCCCTCCCGCCGACTGATACGACAGAGATGATTGTCAATGTTGGCGATACGCGGACACGTTGGACCAACGGAAATATTACCGGTGGCATTCACCAGGTCACTACCCCCGAGTCTATGAAGGGAGAGAGTAGCTTGGTTATACCACCCCGAATGTCGATGGCCTATCTCTTCAAGGCTGAGAGCAATACCTCGGTTGGCCCACTGCCCAAGTTCGTCTCCAAAGAGCCGGCGAAGTATCCCGAAATCACAGCCTTCGAGTTTCAACAATGGAAAAATAGTATTATGTACAATGTGGAAGAGGAAGAACATGCGCGCACTCTTGATCGCTTCGTTGAGACGCCCAAGGCTATCACAGTACAAGCGTAACTGACTTGCTGAATGTTGGAGACACTAATCAGTCAGTACAGCCAGTGGTGGCGTGATTGAAACGCAGCTTTACATTCTGGACACTATGAGAAACACACACGTACTTGAGATATGCGAGAAGGTTGCTTTTTCACGACCACATGCAGCGTCCCCGTTTGCAACAAAAAGAAAAAAGAAAACAGCCAATTTAAAAACACAGTCACAGATTGTTTCTATAGCTATTGTACTTTGTTATTTGAATAAACATCTACTTTTTAGTATCAATTTTTTGTGTTAAGGGTATGGCATGTTGTCCGTAGATTAATGTTATGCTATATATACCCACCTGCTCTCGGGTGGCTTAGTGGTCGTAGCGGTGATTGGCTATTTCAATTACCTTCGGTCTTCCATGACCAGCTCTGATTGGTTACTACGAGTTCATAGTTTGGGTCACTCACTGCTGATTGGTCAATTTGAGAACATTGGGGCGATTCGGAAGAGGATCTAACCTTTAAAACTACAGTAGTTGCCATGTATGGATGTGGTTAATGGTCGAGGAAGCACAAAGATTATTCTTCGAGAACCCAAGTATATAATAATCCTAGTAGCTCTAGCGCGCTGTGCTTCTACCATGAAGTGGTGCGGACGTCGCATGAAATCGCCTCCAGAATTAACCCGATCTCGCTATTGTCAGCGAGTCTATACCTAGCCCGAGAAGGGACAAACCTTGGAATAATTGGCTACTTTGAGTACACTTTCAGTCTACCGCTATAATTGGTCACTATGCGTTCAGTTTTTTTCTTCTACTGCTGATTGGACACATTCAGGACATACTGGCAGGATATATTATGCTTTCTCTGTTTCTTTACGCCCTCCCTATTCAATTGAATTCTTGTTCGCTGCATTGTGTCATCATACCCCGTGGAAAACTGATCTACAAAGCTTCGAGAAGGTCGCAATTTACTGGTAGCAAAAAATCGCCTTCTCACTTTCATCTCTACAGATGATTCCAATCCTCGAAAAATAACTTAAAGATAATAGCGCCCGAAGACAATTCATCCCAATGGATGCTTCGGATACCTCCTATAGAAAGGAGCCGCTTGCTGGCAGCAAGTACTCTTCTCCTTCCGACGTCGAAAAACCGCCACATCTCCCCACAACGGTCGACCTAGCACCTCTCGACATCGAGGTCACTTATCCCGAGGGTGGCCGCGAGGCCTGGTTAGTGGTACTCGGTGCGTGGTGTGGCTTGACCTCATCACTGGGTATCTACAACACATCCGGTGTGTTCGAGGTCGTTATATCCAAAGTGATATTACCGGAGGCTTCATCATCTACTCTTGGCTGGATATTCTCAGTCTACGCCTTCGTAAACTGGGTCTGTGGAGTACAAATTGGACCTACCTTTGATGCAATGGGCCCGCGTGCACTGATCATTGCCGGGACTATTTGCACGCTCATTGGCATTTTCACACTCAGTGTCTCTACGGGTAAGATCAGTTCTCATATGATACGGCATGCAATCGTCCATGCTCGTAAATCCTGCCGATATTGGAGTTCCCTTGCTGATGATGATATAGAATACTACCAAATATTCTTGTCATTCTCCATCATGACCGGTATCGGCTCATCCCTTCTCCTGACCCCATCGATGGGATGTGTCGCTCATTGGTTCATGGAGCGTCGCGGTCTTGCTAGTGGTATAGCGTTCATAGGAGGCGGTTTTGGTGGAGTTCTCTTTCCCCTGATGATACAATCACTTCTCCCTCAAGTTGGCTGGGGATGGTCGATCCGGATCCTCGGATTTGTGCTGCTTGTACTCTGCGCTATCAGTGTGGCATTCTGCCGAAGTAGAATCCCTTCGCGGAAAGGAGCAGAAACAACCTGGCGAGATACATTGCCAGATTATAAAATCTTCATGGATGGAACAGGAGCCATGGCACTCACAACCGCCGGAGTCCTTTTGACGGATTTGGCGTACTTCATCCCGATTACGTACACGCCGCGTTACTACATCGATCGACAGAATCTGTCAGACGACGAGGCCCTGACTGGGTCGTCGGCGTTTGCATATCAGCTTCTCGCGATTCTCAATGCTACTTCATGCGTTGGCCGATACGTGGCGGGCGACATGGCGGATCGATTTGGCAGATACAACACCATGATCGTCTCCTTATTTTTCTGCACAGTATCAGTTCTAGGTTTCTGGCTACCCGATATCCTTGCACCAGACCTCGATTCCTACGCACTACTGGTGGTCTTTATACTACTATTCGGGTTCTGCAGTGGTTCAAATGTTAGCCTGACACCAATATGCCTTGGTCAGCTTTGCGAAACTCAAGAATATGGACGATACTATGCGAGCTGCTTTACGGTAGTATCTTTCGGGGTACTTGCAAGTATCCCAATTGCCGGGGGTCTTCTCGATGCGGTGGGGGGTACAGGAAAAGAAAAGTATTGGGGAGTCGCTCTTTTTGCTGGACTCAGCTACGTGGGCGCTTTTTTATCTTTTCTATTGGTTAGGATTAAAGTAAAGGGGAGGGATTGGAGAATAAAGTGGTAGAACATCAGGCTTTCGGTATTTCCGAGGCTATACAAGGCTCACAATGTATTAGATTAGTCCTGAGGCTTATATACTAGGACTTAGAACATTTTGACGCAGCACTCTCCGGGTCTGCTTTACTTGAGCATACCGATGCACTGGTGTACTGTGTCTTGTCGGCATTCATCCATATCATCCCTAATATGTGAATATGGCTGAAATCAGTAGAGTAATAGAGTGACTTCTCCTGGACTGCACAAGATGGGAAATTACGCCAAAGTGTTATGGGGCATATTGACAAACGAAACTACCCGCTATCCATTTGGGATTTCCTATCCTAGAGAATATACATACATTATCGTCCAGTCTAGCCCACGATGGCCGTGCGCTGGGATTCCTAATCCCTACCATAGCCCTGTAGGCATCTATAAACTCGTCACGCTAAGCCTCCTTAGGGGGTATCATGCTACCCTGGGCAGTACCTGCATGGATTTGATGTTATCATGTAAGGTACCCGTTGAACCATAGCACCAAAGTCAGATAAGTTATAGCTCTTGGTTGAGAAGCTCCATAACAGAATACCTTGAATCTTATTGTTGACATTCGTGTAGGTAGCAACACACTAGCAGGCCAATCTGGAAATTGAGAATATTAGCACCCACTTGATGTTTCTATAGTTCAGAGTTTGAAAGAAAAGGCAAATCTAAACCGATATATTTCTTTTCGCCTTTCTGCTACTAATTGTTGGATGGCTGATCGAGGTCCATGAATGTTAAGCCGCAACGAGACCGTCGCTTGCACGTATACGCATCAAATTACATTATATCCACACAGTTTGAATGCGGGAGACTGAATATTTCTCTTCAATTCTGTTTAGCCATGTGGAGATTGGGTATTATCCATCTGTATACATCGATGTAGTTAATTAACATGCTCAACTCCCTCAATCCTAGTCCATACTCCCGTACGCATACAGCCTCCAATTAAATATACAGCATCAATCGCCCAACGTACAGTAGTAATATGTAGAGTCAGCCGTACTTCACCACGAATGTCATTTTGGCCCCCTAAGTAATATTGATGATCTTACGAGACAGGTTTCCTGGGCGGTAAGTCTCCTTACCAAATGCGGTACGTCACCTCCGCATTCTACATATGTAAGATGAAGAGCCGAGCGGGGAATTAAATAATTATTCCAAAGGAGGAAACCGTCCAACGTCATCCTGTATCCCTACATTCCACTCAACATGCAAACCCAACCTTCGGGACCGAGTCCTGATCAGTTCCAAAGTACCCACGCTCGTTGGCGTGCTCTTACACACCGCACTCCTTCATCCCACTCATCCTTTCTCTACGGTGTCAAATCTACCAAGATCTACTGCCGCCCGACCTGTCCCGCGCGCCTTGCCCGAAGAGCCAACGTTGTCTTCTATGATACAGAAGACCAAGCGCGACGCGATGGCCACCGGCCATGCAAGAGATGTCAACCGGATAATGCGAGCTTCATTGGAGAGAGAGAGGAGGTTGTCACAAGGGTTCTAGCGCTTTTGCGGATCAAGCGGGACGATCACGGTTTGACAGTGAAGCGAGGTTTGAAGGAGTTAGCAGAAGAGGTCGGTGTGACGCCGAGTTATCTTTGCCGCGTGTTCAAGAGGTCGATGGGGCTTACGCTAGGAGCGTACATGATAGAGTTTGAGAGAGAGGTAAACGAGGGTAAGACAGAGAGAGAGGTACAATCTCCCAGCACAGTTGGATCTGGTATGGGTGACGCTGCGACGGGACTGTGGACGCCAGCAACAACGGCAGGAAGCTTGACGGCACCCATCGAGGGTCCAAAGGAGTTGGCGGAGCCGCAAATGGAAAATATCCCAGAGGCTCTGGACTTGAACTTCGATTTTGACGAGTGGTTCTGAACTGGAGGCCCCATTCAGGAAGACTTCTGGAATGAAGGTGCCTTGAATGATGGCTTGAACGCAGACATTTTGAATGATGGCTCGCACAGGTGGGATATTGAAGATGGTTGATATTATCTGGGTACCTACATGCTTGCAAGAAGCGTGCATAACTGGTACCTACAAATACTTGGCTTTCCCTATTCGTGTGCTTTCCTGGATACTCGGCAGATTTTTCTCCGTGTTTTCTTATTCCCTCAACGACGACGACCCTACACATTCATATTTATATTTTGGGTACTTTGGTAGATAATTAGTGACCTCCAGGATGTAGGATGTTTAATTAATACCTAGCTACATATAACAAGCATCTAATAAGCACCTGGGCATGTAATAAGCACTCACCAAGCATTTTATACCCTACACGTGACCAGCCATAGCCCCGAATCTACTCTATGAGATACCTCAGCCCCAGGCTATAAAAGTAGATAACTAGCAAAGAAAATATACAACATACAGTGTTCTCATAGACAATAGATTAATTATGACCCCTCGCATCGAAGAAAACACGGCAAGTGGGTCGCATTATAGTGCCTTGGACGAATTGCTGATCTTATTAAAATCGATTAGTTCCAACTATTACATTTGGTCCACTTGGCACCCCTTGGGGCCAGGACGGGGCGGAAAAAAAGCCAGCCTCCAATAAATTAGGGGAAAACCCCGCGCCACTTTAAAAAAAAATAAAACACGTCACGGTCCGTGTGTCCTCTTCTTCCTATATCAGATCTTCTAAATGAGGACATGTCCTCACTCAGCAACTCCAGCCCAGGGAACTGGATCACCGGCAGTTACACAGGCGACAGTATTGGCGTTCGTATCACGATCGCAACATTCGTCGGCGTCGCATGGTACAATGTGATCGAGCTAGTCGTGCTCATCTTCCTAACCTTCAAGCGCTATGAAGGCCCCTATTTTGGAGCATGCTGATAGCCAGCGTTGGCATCCTGCCGTATTCAGTCGGCTACCTGCTCAAATTCTTCGGCGTGACGTCCGCAACTTGGGTGCCCGTCACGCTGTTAACAATCGGCTGGTGGACGATGGTAACCGGCCAATCCTTCGTTCTGTATTCGCGCCTCCACCTGGTGATCCAGAACATGCGCGTACTGCGCATGGTGAGGGCCATGATTATCATGAACATTTTCTTGCTGCACGTGCCCACAACCGTGCTCACGTACGCGGCCAACTTCTCCAGTTCTGCAGCCTCGGTTGCGGGGTACGATATCATGGAGAAGCTGCAGCTGACGGGCTTCTGTGTGCAGGAGGTTATCATCTCTGGGTTGTACATGTGGGAGACAAATCGTATGCTGCGCTTGAATCAGGACCATGTTAGTCGCAAGACTATCTTGCAGCTGCTCGCTGTCAACGTCTCCTGTATCCTGATGGATATCGCGTTGATGATCATCGAGTTTAGGGACTTCTATATCTACCAAACGACCCTCAAGGCCACCCTGTACAGCATCAAACTGAAACTCGAAATTGCGGTCCTCGGCAAGCTGGTCAATATCGCTCACCAGCATATGTGGAGACCGTCGTCTTTCAATACTGCCGGCGGGCAGTATCCGTCTTTCGTTGACCCGAACCATGCCTTGCACGATTTCAGCCATGCAGACTCTCTGGGTGCAAGCTCGGCATCCAAAGGCCGCGCGTCTGGAACCGAGGCCATTGACAGCGACATCCGATGAAACTTGGCTGTATTTCTACTCCTATCAAACCCCCCCAACCAAGCCACCTGGCCGGCTTGATCCATCACACAGTATTGTGATATCATCTGCGGCGCGCCAGGAGACCACCACCCGAAGTGATCCCACCCATTCGTCTCCATCAAGGACGTCCCGCCAGCATTCACTCCACGCCTTTCGCTCAAGCTTTGGCTTCCTCGCTAGGCTTGCTTAGATGGGCAATCAGCCATGGAATACTGCTGCCGCCGCCTACACTGAGTTATTACGAATGACCAAGAGCGACCACATTGGCCTCGTGGAAGCGAATATGCTTTCGAGCATGCTAGGATATCCCCCAAGCAAGCCAGGGAGAACTAGTATCTATTTTCATCCGGTATAGGTAGACATATCGGAATCCACAGTCTCACTCTGAGACTACTTTTGAAACACGCTGAAAACTTCTGAGAACTAATTTCTTCAACTTGTAAAAGCCACCACTGTAAGTTGAACTATGTGGATGTGCATTCTAGCATATTCACAACTAGTCTTCTTGCTGTGTGGGAGTAGGTAGTTTGTGCACCGCATAAATTCATCATAGTTTGACCTAGAAATTTCCCGCCACAGAGCATAGCGTAAGACGAGAAAGCATGGCAAAGAAGTTCATGACTTTGGAAGATAATTTGTCATTTTGCGCAAAGACTTCTTGCTTTCACAGTAGATCTCTATATTGTAGGTCCCCTGTCTCTCAACCCAACCGGCCTCTATCCTCGTGCAAAGCTCCCTCCCACCAGAACCGCCGTTATGCTTATTCAGTTGGCAGCGAAGCATTCGACCACTTTCAAGTTCGACACCATAGCATTCTACATGAATCTTTACTGGCACCAACTGCACTCCATGGTTACGGCATGGAAGGACAGACTGCTTGGTCATGCGCCCAGTGGTGCCTTTATGAGTACCAAATATGTAGTCAAGAAGCCGGGATTATACATATGCTCATGTCTTATGTCGCCCCAAGTGATATGTATCGGATTCCCCTTCTTGATCGTGATGTTCTTGATAAAATATATATCCTAACGACCTCATTTCCAAGCCTCTTTCCAGAACACATTATTTTAAGTGGCGTAGTAAACCAGACGTATAATTTCGACCGGCATCGCTATCCGTCGAGGCGAGCGATATGCAATAATATCCCCCGATATTTACAAACCCACCTTTGATAACGTCATTGTCAAATCTCAAGCGAGAAATTCCCGGGAAAAGATTGCAATGAATGCCCAAAATTCACATTTGTGTTCTTTGCCGATCCGAGGTGAAGCGCCTACAACCGGCCCGGTGATATCGGAGTGGGGAGATAGCGGATAAGGCACACACAAGATGGAACAGGGACGAAAAGAGGAAAAAAAGAAAGGGTATATTTGTCTATGAATCCGTATCTGTATATTTATAATTTATAAGGAGAAACCTCAAGACTCCTTCCGCCGACCACCAACTTGATCGTGCAAGTAAAGCCGGCCCTCTGTATTAACGAACCCGCCAATTCCAAATGCGGGGATAATGCGACACATGCGCAGTAGGGACGCGCCAATCCAGTCGCGACTGACACGGTTGATCCGGTCTTTGGTCGGCATTACCTGTGGCCGGTTATATAGGTCCAGGCCGAGCAGGTGGATTGGCGTGCTGACGAGTTGGATGGAGGCCGGGATAGCGAGCTGCGCGATCAGGATCTTGAGGTATTCTTGGGAGGCGATGGAGTCTGGGATTGATGCTGAAACCATGGCGGGGAGGCTGAAGGAGCCAAAGATTGTGAGGGCGTCCCGGACGAGGAAGGCTGAGTATGTTGCTACGGGAATTCGGGTGCGGCCGATTGAGCGGGCCGTTTTAGAGGTTGAGGTTGAGGTTGTGTTGGAGGCGGATGCGGGAGTTGGTGTTGGGCTTGGTGGGGTTGTGTTGTTTGTGGCTGGCACAGAGGTGTTGCTGTGGCCAAATAATTGGGCGAATTTCACGTCCTTCCAGATGCCCACGGAGGAATTGACTATGAATGTTGTAGCAAAGGTGGTCATGCCTGCGATAGCATGATCAATCTTCGGGTACCACTTGCTCAGGATTGTCTCTGAGGCATTGGCAGTGGCAAAGGTTGCGGTATAAAGGGACCAGACGAGGAGACTGGGTCGTGACGTTAAGAAAGTTGCGGGTTGTGTGAGGGAGAACCAGAGGTGCCTGCGGAATGCCGGGAAGAGAGGTTGGTTGTAGAATGATTTCTCCACGACAAGTCTGAGTGATATGGGTCAGTATATTGTTGATAAGATGGAGAATAACTTGACTTACCTGTCAAAGATCATCACCGCTGGCGTTATCAATGTCGCTGAACCTGCAGCAACAACTACATCGGCCGCTAACAATTCCGCCATCCGGCTTTTGGTGTGTTGGATACCGAATGGCATAGCCTCCTCTCGGATTTGCTGTGTCATGGCTTATGATGTATGGTTTAAGCGGGCAACGCTATTACCATCTGTTCGTGACCGTCTCGCAGTCTGGTGTGTTCGTGATGTAAAGACAGGACTGGGCAAGGTTCAGTAAAGCTTCAATCTATCTGGATGACACTGTTAGACCAAATAAACCCAACGCGGGGCATGCCTTAAGGCAACTTACTGTGGATCAATGCTGATCAATGGAACGAGTTAGGGTTTGCACTGAGAATAAAAGGAGGGGAGAGAGGAAGAGAGTGAATAGAAGAAGAAACCCCTCCGTAGATATATCCCCAGTCCGTTTTCTATAATGTAATGCCAACATCTTATCAAGAAATCAAGCACCATCGACATTTATAGATCGCCGGCTCAAAAAGACAACGCGTCGGCCAAGCGAACCAATAACAGTGTCAACCGGGCCGGCGGCCGGTGCTGGATACGGGCCGGTGATTGGTGCGGTCGCCGCACCGCGATCGACCTTATATCTAACTCAGGGACGAGATTCTAGAAGTTTTGAGTACTCCGGACTTTCCAAGATATACGAGGATGTCTAGGACAACGCGTATGCTTGCCCTAAACGGACTGAAGTATGGTTTCTCCCCGCATTTCCCCGATCCCAACATTAACTTATGCTATGATATTTGATATTTTCTCTTCTTTTCACCGACTTCTGCAGAGTGGGGTTTCCATTCGCCTTTAAAATCAGGCATTTAAAGGTTAGGGTTCCGAGCTGCATCCCGGTCCGTCCATTGCTAGTACAACTTCACTAGTACGAGTAGTACATTACTAGTTGATCGTCTATGAAAGAAAAAGGGATTGTCTCCGTCTCTATATACCGTTCTTAAAAGGTGTACTTGCAACGCAGAAATGTAGGCAAAGCAGCCCTAGAGGCACTAACTGCATGAAGGCTTGACAATACCCTGGCAAAAGCTTCACTCATGTTTCTCCAATAGGCGGGTACGATACATATGTAGCCACAGATAAGAATCCTCAAGTGCTATACACGGCCATACATTTCCACTTCTGCATGTCTAGGTAGACAGACCCCTTTCACTCTATGGTGTTGTTGATCGACTATAAACGTCGCATTCAATGTTGCCTGGACTATACCCACAGTCAGAGACAGTTATTATTCAAGTAAGATTTGAACATTAAAGACTGATTCCGAGTGACATTTCTGTGCGGTCATCACTGGGCACCAATACACCAGCAGGTGGATCCAATAGGAATTCCTCAACAGTTCCACTTTGAGAGTACCGACATCGCGGGGTTTGGGGTGATGTGTCACTATAGGTGGGTTTCTGACTCATAGCCAGCCCATTTCTATTACAATATACAACATACGTTGCATACCTAACACATCAGTTGGGAAACAGAGCATCTCTTCAAGACCCTCAGTTGGTACTGACTTCAGATGGTTATCAGATCCATGGATACCTGTTTTGCTTACCCACTGACATAGATAGGGTCGATCTTCATTCTACTCTACACTGGGAGTAGAGCACTTCGACCAAAGACAGAAAGTTGGGAAACGACTCGTATATATTTTTGCGAAGGCCAAAAAAAAAAAAAGAAAGGAGAATATCTAAACTCATGTGGTCCTGCGTGTAGATGTTTGGGCTATACGCCGACAATATCTGCTGTATCGTACTAAACATGCCTTGGAGAACTTGTGGGGTCAGCCTACTGAATTGAAGGCATTAAGACCAACTCGATACAGCTCTCGATTAGACTCTCAGGTAATCTCACTAGATCTGCAAAGAATATTAGAAAAGAATGCTCTACTGTCATGTCAGGAAGATTATCTCCTACAAATCTGGGGTAAATTTCGTCTAGTACGTGACGCTATAATCCATACGCCTTACTTCTCATCATAATATAGTCTATGCAGTTCAGTTAATCTCGCTTGTTAGGATACATGGCGAGGTAGAGAAATTCTTATAGCACTAGACTTTGGTGCTGCCAAGTTCCCATCGCATGACTTACATGTGCTATCCTTTTTATGAGTTTTCAATACGCCAATTTCTATAGTCTTTCTAAGAGTTAATGAGTAATACGAGCATGGTGAGATTGGTTAAGGGCTTATTTTTGACACAGGCATATCGCTCCATCGATGTTGCTCTCGGATGCTCTCGGGTGCTCTACAACCAAGAGAGACATTCAACTTCTTTCCTGCGTCTTTCCCCGGGCTCTTGTAGACATAGTCCTTATTAGGTTGGTTCCGTTAGGCGAAAGGCAGACTAGTACTACTCACCGAGAAAGCAGTCCTACAGCATAGGCATAATTTGCTGATTGTGAAGCCTGAAGTCGTGATTAAGAAAATGATGGAGTTTACTAGTAGTCGCTGATATCTCGGTGTTCTTGAAATTTCTCCAGTATCTCGCCAGTTTTCAAACATCCATAATGTCTATTGCAAAGCTCCTCACTGTTCACACTAGTAGGTATCTACATATGTATGTACCTAGGTATGTTGTAGGTTCCCTTACGTTGTAGAACCATGGATGTGTTCATTCCATAGATGGACTAACTCCGAACGCTAACTCCGCATTTAGATAAGGCCAGAACCTTCTCCACATTAGTCACATAGCGATTGTGCCAGCGCGTTCTGTCAGATCGCATACTCGAGTATCTGCTTTATCCCACGCATTCTCTTTCGGTTCATATGTCATAACCTCAAGCACAAAGACCAAGCATCATCATGCCCCCTATAACCGTATCCAAAGGGCGCAGCCCCTCCAGTGACCGAAACGAAACCTTCACGCAAATGGCCGACACAGACCTGGAATCCCTGGGCCGGCACTGCCAATACGAGTATTGTGGCCAACTAGACTTCCTCCCTTTCCGCTGCGAATCCTGCCACAGCACATACTGTCTAGATCACCGGACCGAAACCGCGCACCAGTGTCCTCGCGAAGGCGAATGGGCCCGTCGCCGCAACGGAACAACCAAAACCAGCCAAGAAAACCGCACCACCCTCGAAAAGCCATCTATCTACAATACCGACCAATGCGCCCACACCCAGTGCAAAACCCTCATCAACACTCTCAAAGACCCCGCCGTGCGCTGCCCCCAGTGCCACCACCAGTACTGCCTGAAACACCGTCTCCGCGAGGAACACGAATGCGCCAAGATTACACCGCTGGGCGCACGCCAGAGCAATGCCGCTTCGTCAAATGATACAATCAAGTCCATGTTCGCGCGCGTGCGCACTTGGGGCCGCGATAAGCAGCAGGCCGCTGCAAAGGGGACCCTACTGCCAGCTCTGCCCAAGTTGAAGCCTAAGCCGAATAGTCCAGCTGCGCGTGCGGTTGCTGTTAATGGGCTAAAACGATCGGCTAAGGGAGATGCTTCGGTTCCTGTGGATAAGAGGTTGTATTTGCATACTGTTGGTACGGCGGAGACGCAGGCTGCGGAGCCGCCGGCTGGGGATTTCTTTTTCGACTCGAGGTGGAAAGTCGGCCGTGTGCTTGATGATGCGGCGAAGAAGTTGCGTGTTCAGAATTTAAATAATCGGGTTGATGGGGAGGACTCGAGGCTGCGGATCTTCCATGTTGAGTCTGGGGATTTCCTCGAGTTCTCAGAGGCTATTGGTGCTGGTAAGGTAAAGCAAGGCGACACGATTGTGTTGCTTCGCGGCGCTGGGGCTGTTCTCGGGAGCGCATGATACATTTATCTGCATTTATTTGCTCTCTCTGTTCAATCTTTTATTGCTGCGTTTTGCTTTTCGAAGCATAGATACAGCCCGATACACCTGGAAGCATGTTTTGCTTCCACAATGCTTAAGTCGATTTGTTGTACATGTAAGCTTGGAGTTCGAATGCATTGCTGTTTTCTATTTCAAATGTAGTGCTGTGGCATACATCACAGAATAATTGGTATCATACGAAATAATAACTCGGGCAGTGCCCGCAAATCAGAAATCTATATAAATCAAACGCTCATCTTCATTTTGATGATCTTGTGAGGCTTGTATCCAATGACCTCAAACTCATCCTCCTTCCAGCCGTCAACGACCGCGCTCCCCCGATCATCACGCTTAATGCGCAACTCGGGGAACTCTGTTGGTTCTCGACCAAGCTGCTCATTGAGCGCATCGATGTGGTCAAGATAGACATGGGCATCGCCCATAGTGTGAATGAGAGTTCCGGGATGAAGATCCGCAGCGTGTGCAAGTATATGGGTGAGAAGAGCGTAGGACGCGATATTGAAGGGCACGCCAAGACCCATATCACAAGAGCGCTGATAGAGCACACAGGACAAGGTACCCTTCTCCGATGGACGGCCAGTCTTTTCATCGAGCTTCATGCCAGGCGGGAATGAGACGTAAAACTGGGCGAACATGTGGCACGGGGGCAGGGCCATCTTTTTCAGATCAGCGGGGTTCCACGCGCTCATGATGATGCGGCGATCGAAAGGGTTGTGAATAAGCTTGTGCACAACATCTTTGAGCTGGTCGACACCCTGGCCGGAGTAATCCGTCTTGGCGTCGACATACTCGGCGCCAAAGTGCCGCCACTGGAATCCATACACGGGTCCTAGATCGCCTTCTTCACGGTGGCCGAGGCCGGATTTATCCAGAAACTCGCGGCTTCCATTTCCATCCCAAATCTTAATCCCGGCTTCGGAGAGTGGGAGGGACGAGGTGCAGCCAGAGATGAACCAGAGTAGTTCGGCGAGCACGGCACGTAGAAAGACTCGCTTCGTGGTGAGGAGGGGCAAGAGGGGGATTGGCTCGCCGCCTTCTGGGTTCGGCTTCGAGAGAGAGAAAGCGTAACTGCGGTGGTGCAAAAATTGATTGTGTGCCGGTGCCAGTGCGGTCGGGTCTATGCTCGCCTTCGGAGAGGATTGTGCGTATCAAGTTGAGGTATTGGTGCTCTTCGTGCGAGGGGTCGTGTGGCGGCGAGGATGCCACTGGGGCAGAGGCGACTTGGTCTTGAGTCATGGTGTAGATTGGATTAGTGAGAGATGGTCTATGAGGCTTCCCCTTGATATTTGACGGTAGAGAGACACTCAAAGTGTCAAGTGGACGATGGAGAGGGGGATCTTGGAGATCGGTGGGTCGCGTCGACGCGACACGTGGTCACGTGCTTGACTCATATTTTATAGTGCACCAACTTTTAGTTAGCTGTCATCTCCGTGCTTGGGTACACGATATCACGGAGTGCTGATGTTTTCCCCTAAAGTATCAACATTAATGCCGGCATATACAACACCTTTGAAGCGCATATAAGATTTCAACAAACCACCATAGATAGGAACTTGTTATGGCATTGATAATGCTGCTGGACTAGTGAATTCATGTCTGATTTTTGAAAATCAATAAATACGTGATGGGATCCAGTCTGTGTTCATTAACTGAACACCGCTGAAACTGATGCACACGCTTTCTATGGTATGAAATGAATATTTCGTCATTTATTCCTTCAACACTTATCAAAATCAGTGCTCATGCCGTCATGAATCTGCCAGCAAGTTCACTCCAACTCCCCGGAGAGCACCTACCGCCCACTCAGGGAACTTTGATTTATCGCCTCCATAGATATCGGAGAAGAATTTGCGAAGGAAAGCCGGATATTGGTCATCAATGATGGCTTGTCGGATTTTCCCCATCATGTTCAACATATAATGGACATTATGGATGGTCAAACTGGGAATTATTAGAATCAAAACAAGATATTGTGGTCAGTCCACACTTACAGATGAGCACCGACAGTCTCTTTGGCTGTGATGTGGTGCATATATGCCCGCGTGAGCCCAAGACCACCTTGGTCAGTTGGACGACAGCAAATGCAGGTACAGCCCTCCTCAACTGGACGGAAGTCATCGGCGAACGATTTATGGCTTAATTTCAGGGTGCCAGAGGAGACGATTGCATCTCCGAAGCGCTGGTTCATGTCAGTACGGGGATCGAGCCGCAGGGTTTGTTGAGTCTTACTGCTGTCCGTGTCGGCCAAACGCAGTCAAACATGTCTGCACCGAGAGCCACTGCTACGACAATATCCTCGGGATATCCCTAGCTTTCGTGATTAGCCAAGGCAGAATGACTAATTCAGTAACACATACCACACCCATAACGTATCTGGGTTTATGTTCCGGGAGAATTTCAGTGCATGTATGCACTCTTTGGTTGGTCAGCTGTTTTGCTTTTCTTTTAGCGAAAGAAGAGGCACATACACTTTGCAGAACTCCTCCTTCGCCTCACCACCCGATAGACCTCCAATGGCGATTCCTGGAGTATCTCGCGCTACCATCTCTTCACAGCACTGTTTCCGCAATTCGAGATCCAGACCACCCTGGATGATACAAAAGAGGTTTTGTCGCTCGGGGTATTTGTGCTCTTCAATGCACCGATCTAGCCATCGCACAGAGCGGTCCATAGCCTCCTTGATGCGAGCATGATCTGGTGAAGTGGTTGCAATTACATCGTCTAATTGCATGATAATATCAGATCCGATAGTATTTTGGAGGGAAATTGAGTGTTCGGGGGTCAGTAACCTGGCAAGAAGTCAGCATTTCGGATATTTAGCTAGATGGTTTACAGTAAAGCCACCTACATTGGCGAGCCATCGTGCGGGCTAAGGAACCGCACTCCTTCCTCTGTGACAGTCGCCAACTTAAGAAGCGACACCATCTGGAAACTGAGTAACAACATACCCGGTTAGTAACATACTATCAATGTGTGAGGGAAGGGAAGTATATCTTACCCTCCACTATCAGTCAAGAGATTCCGGTCCCAGCCTTGTAACTTATGCGCTCCGCCCACTGCATCTAGTACCGCCTGGCCGGGTTTCAGACCTAAGTGATATGTATTATTCAAGCACAGCATGCATCCCGTCTCTCGCAGCTGGTCGTATGTTAGGCCCTTTAGCGATGCCTGTGTCGCGACGGGCATGAAGATCGGCAGAGGCACTGAGCCATGAGGCAGGTGGAGGGTGCTGGCACGGGCCTTAGTTGTCTATTTGTAACCGTAACACGCATCAGGTATATGTTACAGTAGGTTTTAAAATGGCATGCCACAAGGACGTACCGAGCATTTGGCGTGACGATCAAATGTCAATGCGGAGGGCATCGGTTTGCGGGTGGGAGCGGCGGTAGTCGACATAGTCGCGATTGATATGGATAGAGAATATGATGTTTTAGCGAGGCGCCTGGCTAGCAAATGGTGGCATAGCATGGGGAGGGGTGATCAAATGTTTGCGATGCGATCAGGAACACTTTTATCTGATAAGGTGTTTGTCTGGTTTGCATCATGAGGCTCAGTTTTGCTTTTATACACGCGCTCTGTTAGTTACATGGTTTAGATATCTCTGAACTCTTTTGTATGAGTAGTTCTTCAATGCTTCGTCATTCCAAGGTCGGGGATATTTTCGCCTTGGTTGAGACTCAACACTGCCATTGAATTTTGTGGCTCTCCGATAAAACCAACCCATAACATGCAGACTACTCCGTATATATATATATACAACGATTATTCAATACTTGTAATGTGAATGATATCCGTGCTTGTTGCTGGCAATGCTTCTCATGTTGACTCATTTTGAAGATCCCCAACGTCCCCAAGATCTCGATGTGGAGATCCGGGGAAACCCAAAATTCAGGGGTAACAAGAGACGATATCAAATGCCAACCAAATATGTATGAATCGTTGTTTTAGACTAAGAAACAAGCACTCCAACATTAGAAGTAGCCCCGAAATCGGATCTCCCAAATACCCCAATGCCGGTGAGGCATCGGAGGAATGGCGAGTCGCCCTAGTGCGGGGGACATAAACCCGAGGAGCTAAATCACACGGGAAAAAAAGAAAGTAAAGAAAAAAAGAAAAAAGACAGGTCTCTTCTGATTTTCTTGTTCCTGACACGACTCTTTTGTACTTGCTTAAATATGGCAACCAAAAAATACATGCCAGATGTTGAACAACCTTTAGAGGTATCTTTTTTCCCTTCCCCCTTGTTATAGAACCAACTGATTTTGCGGTGTGCGAGCTTAAGACTGACAGTATTGCAGCTTGCCAGCCCCGATGTTGTCGACGATGGTCTCAACGGACGTGAAAAGGCCTTGGTCTGGAAACAAGATCTACGCATCATTCCCTTGTGCGCCGCAATTTACTTGCTTTGTTATCTCGATCGCTCTAACATCGGTGTGTTTCCGGCCCCCAATATTGGATAGACTTGAAGCTGAAATATCTAGGCAATGCCAAAATTCTGAATTCGGATACTGGCAATGATCTTCTCTCGGAGACTAATATGACATCGTATCAGTACACGTGAGTCGCAACCATTAATTAATCGCGACAATCCAAAGCGCTCATGTACAAAAGGATCGCACTCATGGTATTCCTGATCGCGTACGCATTGTTCGAAGTCCCATCAAACTACTTCCTGAAGAAGCTCCGTCCAAGTGTACGTCTAAACCAATCCAAGCACGACATCCATTCCCATTTATTACAATCCCACTAACAAACACCAGCGCTGGATCGCCTTCCTCATGTTATCTTGGGGTGCAACAACAATGGGTCTCGGCGGCGTCCATAACTACGCCCAAGTAACAGGTCTCCGATTTCTCCTCGGTGTAATGGAAGCTGGCCTCTTCCCCGGCTTCGTATACTACCTTACATTCTGGTACCGCAACTCCGAGCGATCGATCCGCGTAGCCCTGATTCTCGCCTCGGCAACACTAGCTGGAGCATTCGGTGGTGCTATTGCCTTTGGTGTGGGCCATATGAATGGCGTCCATGGGCTTTCCGCTTGGAGATGGCTGTTTATCATTGAGGGGGCCCCATCGTGCGCGTCTGCTGTTTTGGTCTGGTTTGTGTTGCCGGATTACCCGGAGACTGCTAGTTGGCTTACTGCTGAGGAGAAGGAACTTGCTGCGCAGAGGTTGATTTTGGAAGGATCTAAAGGTTCTGCTCATGCTATGTCCTGGGAGGATGCTAAGGCTACGCTGACGGATTGGAGATTGTACGCTCATTATGCGGTACGTTTTCTGTGCCTTTTCCTCCTATCAATTTCTGGAAGACTTATCACCCAAAAAGGTATACTTTGGCATCTCAACGCCATTCTCAAGTCTCTCTCTTTTCACGCCTGCGATCACCGCTGGCCTGGGATACTCTGATCTTCGTGCTCAATTGATGACCGTGCCTCCGTACGCGGTGGCTTATGTCGTAACTATAGCCGTGGCTTGGTCTGCGGACTATTTCAACAGGTAATTTTTCTTTTTCTTCTTCTTCTTTGAAGAATAGCAAGTCGCTAATCTGATACCAATGATCTACAGCCGTGGTCTCCATTCAGCCATATTCTCTTTCATTGGGGCAATGGGCTTCCTCGCCTCCGCAGTTCTTCCCGCCAGTGCATATTTAGTAAGTCACTCAATCATCTCAAGCGTGCACTAAGCCGATGAGCGTCATCAACTAACCCAAACCCCAGAGCCGCTACGGATGTCTTATAGTCGCGGCCAGCGGTGCCTTTGCCTGCATCCCACCTCTACTAGGCTGGCTATCCTCCAATATCAGCTCAACAGCCGGTGCAGGGCTCGCAATCGCACTCAACGTATCATTTGGCGCACCGGGTCAGATTGTCGGTGTCTGGATCTACAAAAGCAACGAAGCAAAAATCGGATATCCAACCGGACATTGGACAAATGCGGCATTGCTTTTCTTTGTGACGGCCGGTTGCATTCTATTGAGACTCTACTATGGGTGGCGCAATCGCCGTGGAGACGGGGCAAGAGATGGAAAGAGCTTTGAGTATTAGTTGATAGGTCTGGAGTATTGTGGTGAAAGTTGATAGGAATCAGTTCACGGGCTGCAGGGTGTACTTGTCGTATACGATTGCAGCTATCTGAGTCATAAAATAGATAGACACTGAAGTAATTAATTTTAATGACAAATTATAGATTCTCGATAATTTGTATGGAGTACAGAGTACATATAGCAAATGGATAACTTCAGCTCCACCATCTACATAATGCACGGAGTGAAGCGCAAGGTTTAGATCTGTATTGTACATGTCGGCTGAGTCTCTAATGTCCCCTTGCCTACATTTCCAGATTCGAGTCATATTCTAGACCCGTTTGGGCCCTATATAATATAGTCAATAATATCGTAGCCACTCTATTAATTAAAAGAAAATGAAATGTGACAAAATTGAAATATTCGACGCCATTCCCAACCCTCCAGATCTAACAGCACCCACCGCTACCACCTCCACCCTCTCCACCTCCAGCAATAA